TGTCCCAAAATTATTGTGCAGTTTGAAATTTCACTTTTAGTACAATTTGAACTAGAAATGAAAACCCAAACTGGACAATAATTATGGAACGGAGGGAGTACATGTTAACAAGTTGTCGTCACACTAGCCAATTAACCTACTTAAATACTAGTACAACAGAAAACAGTGTCTATCTTACAGAGAAGGTTACCAAGTACTGGTTAAAACTATTTCTTAGTATTATTATTTAAATTCACAATTTATCAATTTTAAAACCTAAAACTAAGAATTAAAATTAAAATTAAACCTAAACAATCAAATAGAAGGAAACCTAGGGCAAATAGTTCACCTACCGACTACTCAGTTTAATTCAATCTATAGATAACTTTGGACTTTTATTAATCTCACGACAATTCAGCAATTTAAGAATTATACACTCTCGTGTTATAACACTCTTACTCAAATTAACCCTATGACGACTATAGGGATTAATGAAAGTACATTAAGAACATTGGAATCTCAAGTCACTAAGGTGGTGCTCCTACTGTCGTGACTCACTATCTAAGTTTATTATACCTACGAACTAATACTAGTCCTCCACTCTCATTACTTGAACTAGTATCTTAAAGCATGAAAAACAAGAATAATAAATATTAATTAATGAAAAAATTTCACAATCATATAAATTTAATAAACCAAAATAGTACGATGGCTACAACCAAAACTCTATATTAAAAGTTTAATTATTACACATAATCTCAAAATAAATTACGAGAAGAGAGAAGTCGCAAAGTTGAGTCCGGAAGTTGATTCGCTAATTAATAGCAGGTCTTATACAATCTTTAATAATTTAATTAACGATGCAGTATGTTTGGCATAGTTTCATAAAAAAAAGCACGAATAGGGTGGGTTTTATTCATTTATAAGATAGATTTAGTTTTTGTTTTTTTAAAAAAAAAAAGTTATAAGGGTGGTATTGCCAATCCAAAACTTTTTTGATTTTACAATTTTTGGCAAATGAACTATCACCCTTTATAAAAAATATGTTAAAGTCATACATCTTTTATCGATTTAACTTGCTTTAGTACCTTTTAGCCAAATTTTTTCTTAAATAAAAATGAACTTGTAATGATATTAATATTTAATAAAAAAATACAACCAACAATAATCCAGATTTTTTTTAAAAAAAAATTCATTTCATAAACACTTAGCCTTCTCCATAATTTATGCCCTGAATCATATGTTTCATCATCGCCACTATAATTATTGATTTTCGTCTTCTCCCCATCCACGGGCAAAATCTTTAACGTTGGCCACTTGTCTGCGACGCCAATTCAATTGTGTGAGGGTTTTTAGAGGGTTGAAGAGGTTGAAGCCAATTAATTTTTAACTCTTAATCTGATCATCCTCGAGTTCAGAGAGATGCTAAACAGAATTAGCAACGAAGACCAATGTACAATTCAAAATTAGGATGTTCAATCATTGTAACATGCCAAAATTGATTCTATTTGGTGTAACAGAGAAATTATAGTCAAAGTTCCTGGGTTATCCTTCATTTTCCATCAAACCAGCCAAAGCCATTCAGTGCACAAAAACCAGAAAAAAAATCTCAATAGACTTTAATCAATTCGAATATTAAAAGAGCCTTCCAAGTTCCAAATAATAGTAATAGTTCTACAGTCACTATTTTGGACACATTTGACATTGTTTTGGGACAAACCCAACAATAGACCGAATATGAAAGAAAACCAACATATATATATACTTGGGCAGAATGGTAGCTAGAAGTTCTCCTAAATCTTTTCATCATCCATAAAAATACTGATTAATTTGCAAAAATGAATTGAATCTAACTCCCATGTGCAAGCCAAACAGAGAAAGACAAATATAGAAACTGGAAGGTTATAGGGTTTCAACTGAAGAACTATGCGACAAAGGGCAAGCTGATTAAAATAAAGTATCGTACAAGTTATTCGAGTCGAAAAAGGCTTCACACACCGTGGTAGCTACCTGTCAATTGGAAGAACGAAAAATTTAAATCATAAAGTTGACAGTGGCAATGATGAAACATAAGATTCACGGAATGAATTGGTAACGATGCGTTTGAGAAATAAATTAAAAAAAAAATCATAATAAGCGATAATGCCTCATGGTTTTTGTTTGTTGATTAAATATAATTAAAAATTTAAAGGTGATTTGGAATGGCGAACTAGATTGCGATATAAGTAGAGTTATGAGTTGAGTTAAATTAGTAGAGTATTATTACTCTTTTAATATATCGGTTGGTAACTAAGTGATTGAGATGTCAAAACTTATCGAATGTTGCATAAACTGTGGTGATTCAGCTGCAGTAAACAAAGAATACAAAAAGCTTTATGATACTGAAAATTCACATAGTTAGTAATTAGCCATGTACATATAATAAGCAAATTAATCTAGATTGCAGAGTACTCGTTTCAGTTTGAAACATGGACTATATATAACAGGGACTTATTGATGGGACATGGAAGGGTTTGGTAATAAGATAGCAAGAGTGCAACGTTATTATTGTCACGAAGAGTGGTGCTAAAACTGGATCGCGCAAGAATACTAAAAAGAAGGCCGCACAAAATTTCTTGTCTCTAATTGGTGATGATCTTTCAAATGATAGGTGATTGAGTGAGTTTTGATCAACTTCGTCATGGTCACAAATTAAGAAAACCAAATGATGAGCATTTCCTTGTGTCTAAATTGGTGATAATCTTTCAAATGACCGGTGATAAAGTGAATATTGATCAACTTCATGGACTAACAATTTAGGATTATGGAGTTAGGGGTTTTTTTTTTTCTTGATAGAAAGATATCTTTTACAAAGAGAAATGAAATAGAAACCAAAACAGGAAGTTTCGCTTACTTTATTAACAAAAAGAAATGAACATAACTTTCGATAAAAACTCCAAAACTCAAAAAATTTAAAGTATGGGTGACAATTGAAATTTTCTTTTTTTCCTTTCTGATTATTTTAAATTAATATAATCTACATCTTTAGACTCTCGACTAATTGGTTAAGTGTACTGAATTACAACCATTTTTATATCATGATATTGATCCTTGTCGCGTTCAGTTGAGTACGACTTTTTTATTTTTTGGGTTCAAATTGAAACGGTAGCATTTTCTCATGCAACACACTGTGTATCGGCATAGCAGAAACTGTAAAAATGATTTTTTTTTTTTTCGTGATATCATATATAAAATTTATTACTGAGATATATACATTTAAGTTTGAGTATACGTTGGTACGTAGAAAGTCACACCAATCACCATACGTTTGAAAAGTTATAGGCGTATAAGATTTGTTGGGGATAGAGCCTTGGGGGAGAAATCCAATCAGTAGCCAAATGGAGGCCCAATAAGTAAGGAGAGATCCAACTAAACTCAAAAGTTTAAGTCAATAAGTTCTGGATCCTTTCCACTTATAAGGTGAACTCCATTTCTTCCCCGTCATAAGCAATCTCCACACCAACAACACACAACATTTTGGTCTCGACTGCTGTGCCCAATCCCAAGCTCGACCCGAGCTTTAATAGCAGTTGTTGGGGATAGAGGCTTGGGGAAGAAATCCAATAAGTGAGAAGAGACCCAGCCTGGACTCAAAAAATTAAACTATTGAGTCTTGGGTCCTTCCCACTTATTAGGTGCTCCATTCATTCCAAACATCAATGTGGGACTCCAAAATTGCTACATGACCTCAACAAGATTAATTATTTCTCAATGTCTTTCAATAAGTTTTATTGCTATTATTATTTGATACTCCTTCCGTCCCACAAAAATAATCCACATTGAATTTTGAATTTTGTACTGTTTTTAGTACAAATTTGAAAACTCAATGTGAATTATTTTTATGGGACGGAGGTAGAATTATTTAAGGTCTCAATTAGGACAAATCAAGAGTACACAATGTTATATTGAGGGATAAATGTACTGTTGGTACCAACTGCATACAACTTCCCTCCTTGCTCAGCAACCACAGTCACACGGTTCAACTCGTTACTTAAATCCACAGTAGCAAGAATTTCTCCCGACGGACTAAACTTCACTCCTTGTGGGTCAATTGTAGAGTCGGGTCGAAGGACGTTAGTACCAACCCAAAAATTCCCTTCCTCGTTCCTCTTGATCTTGTTTGGCCTTCCTTGAATAGCCGCGAAAATTTCAGATGTGCCGGCTTTTTCCCCCTTTAGCCAATACCTTTGGATTCTAGACTTTGTGCCTTCCGTGACTAGAACAAACGAGGCATTTGAACTGGTGGCGACGCCGTTAGCGCTCGAAAGGTTTATCATAAGAGTGGTTATTTGTTTTGTTCTTGGATTGTATTTCACCAATCTTCCTGTTGCATCGCCAGTTTGAATGATGAGATTGAAATCCCTAAACACGAGAAAGAAGGAAGAAATAAGTTTTGGGTCTCTCTAACGACTAATATGAGGTTAGGAAAATGATATATATAGTATGCATGGAATGAAATGTATAGAAAATCGTATTATAATTTATAGGTATACCCGATACTAGAGACCATAACTCTTCCTCTTTAAGTTCGTTCATGAATCAATAGATTACTATGAATCTTACATGAAATACATGATCAAATTATGGCATAATACAAATCAATGGAATTCAAAACTTGCTGGTTTAAATCTATTTTGCTTTTCATTTAGAAGATAGACAGATTAAAGAAAAAAAAAATGACTCAATCACCATCAGTGTGTCTTTTTCTTTTCTGTTTTTTTTTCCCCGAAAAGGAACAACATCGGTAAATATGTCCGTATAAAGTGAGTAAGGATTGAAACTTTCATATTTTAACATGAAACAACGCATATTAAGGTTAACAAGTTAATTAGAGTCTAATAGATTATAGTTTTTCTAGAAATATTGTTGCAAGACAAATGGGAAAAGGTTATAACCAAAAACCTTACTTTGGACCGTATACCGAACTTGCATCTACGAAATAAACCATCCCATCACTAGCATAGTCCACGGCCACAAGGTACTTGAACGGAGGTGTCACATCTGTATTACGAACAAGGGTGATCGCCGGCGTCCCGGGTAAAACCACCACCGTGAGCCCAACATATGAGTCGCCGGCGTATAGATTTTGAGTTAAGTAGTCAAAACTCAGTCCGGTGGTGTATCCGCATGTCGCGGACCTATCGAACGGTGTTGTGCCATCACAGACTGCCTTGGTCCTGAATACGAAATTCCACGTACCATATTTATTTAACATAGTGGAAGTCAAAAAAAATTAGGAAGAATTGAGTAAATAAAGGATAAAAATAAATACTGAGAACCTGTTTGGAGAAGTGTAGGAAAAATCCTTGAAGGAATTTGTGAGGTACGAGTAGAAAAGAATTCGACCGTCTCGAGTTCCAGCGTAAGGACCTCGACCTAGTAGATCAAAAGAAAAAGAACCCGAGGAAGTTACATTAATCGGGAAATTGAGTTTGGCGAGGAGGACGAGATTGATGTTCTTTTGAGATTGGGCAATAACCCCGAAATGATGATAATCAATGGAAAATATCAATGAAAGAAATGCAGAAAAGAGGAAAGGGAACAACGTCAAAGATGCCATTTTGATCATATGACTGGAAGGCAATGTCTAAATAGACCAACTATTTATAGGCCAAAAATGAGTTTTTTTTTTTTTGTATTTTGTTTACAAGTAGAGACAACACAAAATATAGTGGGTAATATCTTTCTCATAATCCTTACATGTGGAAAATTCTTCTTTTTGGGAGGTAAACTACATTCATTACGGTGTTACTTATTTTTATATAAAATAAAGGAGGTCAAACTTTAACATCCTAAAATATTACACTTTGTAGATTATAAAAAAAAAAAAAAAAAATTCGACCAAGTCATGTTCTAATTAATCATATGGGGTGATTTTATTTCTTTGTTTAGCCTTTTGGTGGTTTAGTGTTCGTGATTTATTGAATTAAAATTGGTTAAATAAAACTCTAAATACACTGCTTTTGATTAAAAAATTGTTAGTTTGGTTTTAATAATATTCCCATTTTTAATCAAACAACGCCGCCGCTGCCGGTTGGAGGGTACAAAAGAAATATAAAATACAGGTAAGTGGGGATAACGAAAAAGAAAAAGACAACAACGCGCTAAGCTTTTGGATAACCCATTTGGCTTTCAAGCTCCATTAGTTGGACATAAAGAGCAGCTAGTTAGGTCCATTCTAGCTAGCTCCTTTATTTTGGAGGATCACAATGAACAATTCACAACCATTTCCGAGACAATGCCGTTACGCAAATGGTTATACGCCCACACTTCTATATTATACTCGTAGCTCATGACATTACCTCTTTCTCCCGTAATTTACACGTCCTCTGTGCCAGAAACATTACTTTTCCCTCTGTCAAAATGATTGTTGGTTTAGATTTTTATTTTTAATTTAAATTATTTTTAATATTAAAATTTAAATCAGACAATTATTTTAATAGAATGACAATATTATTTTTCCGAAACGAAGTCAATATATTTATGATATATAGGGTCTTAAAGTTAATGAATGACTCAAAGCAAATGGCCGGCCAGATCCCTTGTAACCATTTCTTCTTTGTTCCTGTCCTGGCCCCCATTGGAAAGCTGTTTTAATTTAATTTTTACACCCCTTAGGCCCTGCACCTCAATGAGTCTTCACCATTTAACCCGTTGTATGTGATTTAATCTTGGTAATTTTTCACGTTGGCAGCTCGAGCCAAACCGGCGACTATGGTACGGCCGGATTGGGGCCTAAATAATCTTGTACATAAAAATTTCTTGTAAAAATGACAGATATAACTAGGGCATTCAGAGAGTACGCACGCTTGCTCTGACATTTTACGAGAAATATATCCTGCAACGGAAAGAGGCGTCATGATTATTTGCTTGTTGCGTGCATAAAAGATAAGGCTTCTAAAATAATATTTTCACAGTCAAACTAATAAATGAAAGGATCATGATTGATCCACAGAATAATGTCCTAACTCCTAACACAGTCAAATCTCATTTGATTCGAGGATTGAATTATTGAATATTGAGTGAGAAAAGAAAAGAATAAATCTGTGGCGATCAATTCATTATTGTGTACACCGAGATTGCCTCTCGATACTCTATAGTATATTTCTTATGCACAGCTAATCTCAACGGTCAACTTTCCCACACGCTCTATGTATTATTCTTTCTTCTCGGAAACGCAAATTATCTTCATGAAGCATGCAGTATGGGGTTTAATAATAACTTAGACCATTGTTATTATAAGTGACTAAATCCCTTATTGAATTGTAAGTATCCTGGATGAGTGACAAATAAACCATTAATTAATACTCCTTCCGTTCCAAAATAAGTGTCGTTTCAACAAAATGGAGAAATTTCAAAATAAGTGTCGTTCTTTCATTACAATGCATTTTTTGTCTAAAATTTCTAAAATTACCCTCAAAAGAATTAATACTATTAGTAGATATTTTTTAATGACGTTAGTTGAAGATATTCAAGTAATTTTATTACCATATTTAAAAGTTTCTTAAACTATGTGCAAAGTATAAGATGATATTTATTTTGGAATGGAGGGAGTAATAACTGGGACCATCATATCTGCATGAAGGTGAAGGCTAAAATTAATCCCTACGCAGAATGTCAAATAAAATACTATTCCCTCCAGTTCTTATTATAAGGCACTTTGATTCCGTCTTAAATTTCACCTAGAATGTCTTTTTTATAGAAATAAAAAAATATTTCATAATAATAAGGAGAACATAACGAATGTGAAAATATGTTTTTTAAGTTTTTTTTTCAATTAAAAAGATATCATAAGTTAAACCTAAGACGAAATCAAAATATCTTTTAATAAAAACCGGAAAGAGTACCAATTTAAAGAATACGTGCGCAGGCAAAAGTTGAGGCTATATGGAGTCGTGGTCCTATTTGTTTCATATTAATCTCTAAAACATAAAAGAAAAAAATATAGTTTTGTGAGAGAAAATTAAGTGCTTTGTTTGGACATCATCTTACATTTCATTTTGCCACTTAAAAGTAAAAAGTGTTTCAAGTTGAAAACTAAATGGGAAATGAAAATGTTGTTTGGATGATATTTCTAGCAAAAAGTTGTTTGGATGTTGGTTTTGAAAAAAATATTTTGAACTACATTTTGAAAATATCAAGTACGAGTCATCACTAAACAATTAAACACTATCAATTATAGTCACTGCAAAAAAAAAAAAAAATTTCCAAAAACAATCACTCAACAACAGAATCCTGCCAAATTTGTCATTGAACTATTTGTAATTCTAAAATAGTTATTACACTAACAAAAGTGTTTCAAGTTGGAATTTAAAATGTAAATCAGAAAATTGTTTGGACGATGTTTTCTTTTTCATTGAGTTTTGTATTTAAGAGATAAATGAGTTAAAATATAAAATGAGTGCTTGTCCAAACAAAACCTCCTTTCTATGGTAGCTCCTTAATCTTACCTTCGTGAATCGAAGCGCACTTAGGTTATCTATTTGTTCTCATGTGACTCGGAGCGTATGATGATATAGAACCTATCGATGATATTAGATGTGTAAACTTTTTAAATATTTCTACTAATTTTCCTTTTCGGAAAAAAGAAAAATTAAGATATTGTTTTACCCTAAAGAGCAGTACAGATAATTGCTTCTATGTAGAAAGATTTTAAATTCCCTAAAACTCTTGATTCGTCCTAAAGTTGTCAATGGAAAACTGTGAGTTTGGATCCCCTGAAACTATTTATCTCACCTTTGTTTCGTGTCCGTTAGTAGTAAGTAGTTGAAAAACAACTCCATTGATATATTGAGAGCAATTTATTTATAGTGATAGCAAAATATCTTGAAATGTCAATATTACCCATTTACGTAATATTTACCTCTTTAACTAATACTCCCTCCGTCCCATAATTATTGTCCAGTTTGGGTTTTCATTTCTTATTCAAATCATTATATATATTAAAGGAAAGAAAGATAATCTACACTTGTCGCTCATTGAGACCATCAAGCATCAATCAACACGTGTTATTTACTAATTGGTTGATCATTAATCAATTAAAATTTTATTTAAACAATTAATAAATTATTTACTATATAAAATTTTTACAGATATTACAAATTCCTGATTGTAAGCTAGAAAATGAATATTTTTGAAAATTGTTGAGAAACCCCCGACTTCATAAGTCCTTTCATTTACGAGTTTAAAATTTCAACCTATTGTCATTTTCGCCCTTAAAGTTCCATTTGTGTGATACTTACTCTTCAAGTTTATCGATTTTACATTTTCAATGACGATTAATTGTGTCTCATATTTTATTAGAACTGCATCTAATCCCCAAAGTCCCCTTGCCTATAAATAGGCCATATGCATTTAGACACAGTTTACGCCTTTTTTAAATATATTTTTTAATCCAAACAGTACAGTAGTTAGTGTTGACAATTTTTATTATACAACTTTTGAAAATCTTTGTTGTAATATTATTGACCAGATCTTACAAATATACATCTCATAAATAATATCAATACCTCTCATTTTGATCTAAAATTGATTAATCGAAAAAATATGACGATTTTGAAAAATATTAGTAACTACATTATTTTATCTAATTAATTCTTTTGAAAGATAAATTTTCAACATTGACAAACCCGCGCAAAGTGCGGGACACATACTAGTTATATTAAAAATGAAATCTCAAACTGAACAATAACTTTGGGACAGAGAGTATTAATCAACTCTTAATTTCCTCCTCAATCTTTGCAAATAAAAATTTTCTTCTCTCTCGCATTTTCTACTCCTTAGTCATCATCAATGACAACCACCACTTAAACTATGAATCCCGTATGCAACTGTGAACTGTCGCTGTGAATCCGGTATTTCTGTGCTTGACCATTCTGTATATGCAACCCATCTCAATGCATTCATAGCCGGCAATTCCCAGCCAAGAGCTTAAAGAAAAAAATGAGCCTGCTCTAATAATATTATTTAGGCCATTTCTCAAGCTATAAAGTATTAATTTCCATTGCTTCTCATCGATGCTGGTGTTTTAATTTAATTCATGAATATATTGATTCTTGATATTTGAGAGATTTGTTGACTGATGGCCAAGTATTCACGTAGAATTGTACGAAGACCTTAAAAACTCTCTGATGTTGGTGAAATTTCCAACCTGAAAATTTGCTTATTATGTTTTGATTGGAAACAGAAAAAAAAAAAAAAATTTGCTTATATAACTATGAAAATTTAATGTGACCTATTTTTTTATTTTTTTTTTTTATGTAGATAGCCGTGTAAACGGATTCGGAGATGAATTTTTTGTTGGTTTAATGTAAGGAGCTAGTGATGGGACTTGGAAGGTTTTGCCATGGAACATTATTATTGGTTTGAAATTTCGTTGGAGCAATTTTGTTCCCTCTTCGAAAAGAATGGCGCTAGAAGTCTAGAACTGAAGAGCAACAAATAGGTGTGGAATTTCTTATCTATAAGGTAATCTTTAAATTATTGGCGATTATAAATGAGTGTTAAATTGTTAATCAATTTCCTGGACTCATGCATGCTAAGTATACCAAATTAATGACG